TTACCGAAAGCGTATTTGAAGTATAGAAGACCTCGCTCACTGTTCTCCAAGGAAAATATTATTTGAGAGAATTCAGATACATAATGAATGAAATTACCATTAATGAATTCAATTGCAAAGAAATACCTCACGTTTTTACTTTCTGAGTTACTTCTAGTAAGGTTTAGATTAATTACAAGCGGCTTTTAGGCCGCGCGTTAACCCATATTTGACATATTTACTACCAATATTCCTCTCAAAACCAATTATTTCTTACAGGCAAACAAAGTGATCTAAGAGAGAGAAAGAAAGAATTAATAAATTATCAGTCGGCTTGATTTGCTTTAAAACGATTCGCTTAAATATACTGTGCAGCCGGCAAAACGAAACAAATTTATAAAAAAATGGTAACAAAGCAAGAGATGTAATCGGCGGCTCGCTCAAGGGATACCGTGCCCGTAGGCAAAGATAGGAAAACCCAGACCGCATTAAGTACTAATAAGATTCCAGGATTCGTTACCATGCCCTCTGAGAAAAACAAATGATAAATGCAGTTCTTTTGAGAAAGGCTATCGGAGAAAAGCGTGTCGGAAGTGTAAGCGAGAACCTGAGAGATATTGCCGGTAGCCTTTAGGTCATGGTTAGACTTGACCTCAGGAATTTAGGGAAATCTAGGAAATGTTACTTTAAGGAGGAGGCATCACGGGTTTGAACAACCTAATTTAATTGCAAGACTGACTTTAAATTCTAAACTGCATGAGCTAACCCTAATTAATTTATCTTTAAATTTTATGTCCCTATTGATTATCGTTACCCAGATAATCTTTTGAGATTGTCGCGTGCACTTTAAAGTTTTCCTCTTTGCCCGTAACAACTGTATACGGTTAAATGCGTATCTCCAGTTGCACATTTATGGGAGCCTACATTCACATTTAATTTTACGTTTTTTAAGTCTGATTAGATAGAGGAGGAAGAATATGGGACGGAGTCGGGGAGGTGTAAGCTCAACGAGGAACTAAGTACTATTCAAAAACTCGATTACCAAAATTACATGAATTCACAAATAACCTTACAATCATAATCTCAGCTGATGTGAAGTTAACTAATTCACAAAAGCAGGCCAGGGTGGCGGACGCCGTAGTGAAGAGAGATGTATGGTGTTGATTGACACTGATCAAACAAATACATATGATGTAAAAAAAGAAAAAAAGAATTAATTGGGGAATGAGTCCCATTTTCTGTCTCATTCGTTTTTTTCCTTTATTGTGATTGTGATTATAATCTTTTCATGTTATCAATGCTATTATAATTATCACTTTGTTTTTCATCATTAGGATAATTGGTGTTTTTGTTTTCATCTTCATTATCATGTAGAATGCCTAAATATAACTTTTAAAAACTCTTGGTACATAATTTCGGTGGATGGAGAGTCATGGTACTGGAGTAGACACACTTGCTCAAGTCTAGGAGGGGACCTAGTTTCCTTTGAAACCCAAGAAGAATGGAGGTTAATTAATGACGAAATTCAAAGGCGAAACACTACGAACTATGAAAATAAATGGATAATTGGTTTAAAAAAAAGGGCCAGGAATTGGACCTGGGTGAGTGGAAGACCGCTGACTATTTCCAAGTGGGGACAAGGGGAGCCAAGTGGTGAACACGACGCGGCTTTCATGTACAAGAGGTTCCGTAATGGCGAACGGGGCGTGTTTGGTACTCCTAATAATGAAAGTTGGAAAAAACAGCACGCTTATATTTGTGAGATCCCTAAGGGTGAGTTGATATGTTGTTGTTTTTTTCCTTTTTTGTATTGTTATTTTGAGTAAACTCAAAGGCACTAGAAGCGCTTAAGGGCAATAAACACTTATTTGCCAACGTTTGTGGTACTCACGAGAGAAGTTATAAAAACCCTCAGACAGTCAGAATCAAGGTTACACTTACC